CCCCAAAACCCCAAAACCCCAAAACCCCAATATGTCCAGATATTATAGATAATTTAAAACTGTAAAATGAAGCCAGGCGCAAACCGAAGCAGGAAGGATATACAGACAACTAAGAAGAGTGAACAGATCAAGGTCTGCATCAGAATGCGACCCCTTCTAATCCCTTATGAGGAAGAGTCCCTCTGGTTCATCAATGAGAAGCAAAAGTCTATTTATAGCTCCAATGCTGATAGTAAGTATTCAGAGTTTGAATCAACACCTGGAATGAAGATAAAAGATGACCTCAGAGCTTTGTCAATTGATCCACAGTTGAACCATACTTTTCATTTTGACCATGTGTTTGGTGACGGGACTAGTACTCCTGAAATATACCATGTAATTGCTAGACCAATCACAAAGGCAGCATTGGTTGGATATAATGGTTCTATCTTCATGTACGGCCAGACTACCTCTGGTAAGACTTATACGATGCTTGGGACACCAGAGACTCCTGGGATTCTTCCATGCACAGTCAGGGACATCTTCAATTTTGTGACTAAGAATCAATCGAATGAGTATAAAATCTGGATTTCTTATTTAGAAATTTATAATGAGGCTATCAATGACCTCCTAAATCCTGGGAGTACAAATATGAAGCTCAAAGAAGACCCTAAATATGGAACCAAGGTGGTAGGCTTGAAGGCTCAACAGGTTTGGACCTTTGATCAAGCCATTATACTCATGAATTTTGGTGAAGAGCATAGAATGTATAAAGAAACCAGTGTTCATGAACATTCCTCAAGGTCTCATACCATTTTTAGAATTTATATTGAGAGTATTTCAAAAACAGAGGATACTCCAAAGAAATGATCTGTACTGAACCTTGTTGATCTTGCAGGTTCCGAAAGACTAACTGAGTATGATGGGAAGAGAGACACTAGTGGTGAAACTGGACACATCAATAAGAGTCTGTTTATTCTAGCAAATGTCATCAACAAACTAGCAGAAGATAAGCACTCTCACATCCCTTATAGAGATTCAAAGCTCACACGGATTTTGTCAAATGCTCTGGGTGGTAATTCTCTAACAGCAATTATTTGTAATGTATCACCAGCTGCGATTAACCACTACCAGACCTTATCAACCCTAAGATTCGCCACTAGGGCTAAAATCGTTAAAAACAAGCCAATCGTCAATGAGCTAGGAGAAGTGACTGAAGAAGCTAAAATATATAAAAAGCAAATTCAAAATTTAAGAGAGCAACTAAGCTCAAAAGAGGATGATATCAAACTCTATGCTAAGAAGCAGCTAGAGATGCAGCGCCACCTCAACTCTTCCAACAACATGAACGCCAAGCTGATGAATGAGCTGCAATTTATGAAGAAGATGAATTCTAAGAATGAAGCTGAGAAATAAGCTAGATATCTCCTCTTCAAGTATCTCTCAATCTAAAGAGTATCAAAATTTGTACCAAGAGTTCAAACAGGAAAGAGAAAAGAGCTTAGAATTGTTCAAGGAGCTTGAAGAGACTAAGAAATAAACTCAATGACCTACAAGAAATACAGATTGAACGCCAAAAACAAGACGCTTTTGAGACAATGATTGTATTCACAGAGCAAGTTCTTGGCCAGAATAATATATCAATCCATCTGAACCCTCAACAGCGATCTGAGTGGGTTGATAAGGTAGGAACCTTGCTGAATGATTATCAAGATGACTGCGGGTTACTCCAAGATAAGTACTTGCAACAATTATGTGTGCAATATTCTAAAAGTTTGCCCAAAATAGCACCCATAGATCAAGAATTTCTAAAAATGAACCCTAATCTGGATTGCTACTTAAACATTGTTCCTGACGATAAGATCACAGAGTACGATGAGGAAGAAAACTCTGATGATATTAGCTATGAAGTAAAGTCTAGTGCAACCAGAGTCATTGAAGATATCGAGAAACGTAAAATTTTCGATGATATCAGGATCGATTTCGAAAGCATTGTTGATAGCATTGCCCCGGAAGACAACCCCTCCAGGCTAAATCAGATGCTAGTCTCATACTATGAAGAAATTCATGAAGTCTTACAGAAAAGACTTGATGAATGCCAGGATATCATAGAACGGTACATGAAGGAACTTATCGAAAGCAAATAAAAGGAATATACAAAAACAAATGGAAAATTTAGCATTTGGGAGAAGAAATTCCTCCAGAGATCCAACCATTATGAATCAGGATAACCAAATGGATATTGGAAGTATTACTTCTGAGCATAATAAAAGACTAAACCAGCTAAGAGAGCAATATGAATCCTTCTTGAAGAATGCTGAGAATGAATTTTTCAACGTTCTCAAGTCAGTAAAAGGGGATTCAGATATGAATTCAAACTCCAATGACAATAGTCCAAAGGAAAAGAACTTTCAAGAAGAATACAATAAGTTCAACAAGAAGCAAACAGCTAATTTAAACAGAGAAGGGGAACGGTCAAGGAGTAACCTGAGCTCCCATGTTTCTATCAGCAGTTTAAATGAAAACTCTAGTCAGAAGCCTTCGATCAAAAAGCCAATATCTAAAGATTCAGGCTCAAAATCAGGCTATATAGATGATTTGCACGAGAAAAGAAGCACTGCAGAGAATTATGAAGAAGAAAAAGCTTATCCTCCACTAAAGCTATCAGCAAGCAAGCGTATGAAGAAGAAAAGGGAGGAAAAGATGACCAAAAGTAAGGCGAAATCTTCTGGTCAAAAGTCTCAAGAAACTGATTCTGTAGGATCAGCTAAGAAGAAAGAACACGTCTCAAAGCCCATCAATAAAGTTCAACTAAACCTTGTATCTTGTGGCTGGCAACATATTATGGCTCTTTCTAGCCAAGGGCAGGTGTATTCATGGGGTAATGGAAATCAAGGGCAGCTTGGACATGGAACTACTCATGACATCAAAAGTCCTCTGATAATTAAAGATCTGATCCAAATGTCTATAAACCAAATAGCATGTGGCTATTTCCATTCAGCAGCTGTTGCTCAAGGAGAGTTATTCATGTGGGGCAATAATTCTGATGCAAGGTTAATTTTGGAAAAATCAACGAATGTTCTAACTCCTTCACTCACATTAATAAGCCAGCTTAGGAAGGAAGATCCAGATATGTTTTCAGTAGCAGAATTATCCCTAGGATATAATCATTCATCAGTTATTACAATCTCTGGAGAATGATTTACTGCTGGCTCAAAGCTTGAAGGCCAATTAGGAGGAGATCCATCTGATGATACTATTGAAGGAGATGAAGGTTTGCCAGAAAACTGAAGCCCTCTCACACAAGTACTTCCTTTCGGAGACGATAATTCTCCTAAAGCAATTTCTGTGACTTGTGGTGATAGGTTTACAATTGTGCTTGACAGTAATCAAGATGTATCCGCTTTCGGAATAGGAGTTGTGAATCAAATATTTGAAGATAACCTTCCTGAACTTTCAAATGTAAGTATTGATATCTAAACATCCAGAACTACCAGCGTCAGAGTCTAAAAGCAGTGCCTAGAACCCAAGATGATCTATTCAGGTGGACTTTCAATTCTTATTCAGAATAACCCTCTTCTTTATTTGTAATTTCAATGAAACTACGACCACCGGGGTTTTGGGGTTTTGGGGTTTTGGGGTTTTGGGG